ATTTCAAGCAATTCAAATACATTTCAAACAATTCAAATACATTTCAAACAATTCAAATACATATTAAACAATTCAAGTACATTTCAAACAATTCAAATACATTTCAAACAATTCAAATACATCTCAAACAATTCAAATGCATTTCAAATAATTTAAATGCATTTCAAACAATAACATAAATCATGGGAATGAAACATATAATAGTAATGATAATTGTAAAAATTTTTGTAGAAAAAAAAATAATTTTTCCAGGCTATCGTTGGAATTGGCAGTTTTCTAATTATTTATTTCGATTTTCCAATATTTAATACAGAAAAGATAGCATATTGCGCTCAAAAAAATAGCAAAAACAATGGAAGAGTTGTTATAATTCTTGTCTTTTATGCAATTATTTCTTTCATCACAGCTTTAATTTTTCCAATTTTATTATCTATTAACAAGGTAAATGCTAATTAATGATACTTTTTTTAATTTGTTAATTATGCATATATTCATTAACGGATCTAAGTTAATGGATCTATAAGCATTAACGGATCTAGGTATGGATCTAAGTTAATGATCTAAGTTAATGGATCTACAAGCATTAACGGATCTAAGTAAATTTGCCTAAAAGAAGAAATTTTAACAAAAATACTAAATGCTAAAAAAAAACAAAAGAAATACTAATTACTGAATTAAACAAGTATACTTTCCTTATTATAAATTTTTAATTTGAGTAATTTAATTACCTTTACCTTTACCTTACTGTATTTTATTACAATCATTATGCTCTTAAGTTAAACATATGGAAGAAAAACATTTTAATAACTATGAAAGAATAATTTTATAATGAATAATTTATGGGATAATTTTTATAAGAACCAATTTAAAAAGCAATTTTTTATCATTTTAAAACTAATATTTAAAAATAATCCTTTAAGAATAATTTTTACAAGCATAATTTAAAAAATAATTTTATCATTTTAATGCTAATATTTGAAAATAAATCCCTTTTTTCATAATTATCATCATATCATTTTAACTATTGATGCAACAATGGATGCAACTTTTATTTCAGAGATTTCATCGTAACAAAATTCACGTTAATTTATCACATCGTTATCAAATTATGGAAAATATAAGTTCCCTTCGAACATTATCACCAGTGATAGCATTTCATTCTCTCTTTACGACAATTTACCTGAGCGCACTTTTTGTTTATTATAATTTTGATTTCGGAATTTCCCTCACAAATGCTCTCTATCTAGAATGTTCGTTTCCTATCATTTAAACTTTTTTTTTTCTTTTCAAATTTAAGAAAATTAAACAAATATGAGATGTGTCGAATTAGAATTAAAAATATTTTTAATTAATATTAGTGATAAAAAGATAATATTATTGATAAAAAGATTAAACATATAAAAGCTTAAAATCAATGAAATGTAAAAGTATCAAATGACATTCTTAAATAAATCTTCAATCTTATTCACTTAACCATTGTTTCTTAAATAAACAACTAATTCCCCATTGCATCGTTGACAATTGTTGACAATTTCGTGTGTTACTATTGTCAGTAACAATCGGTCGTTGTTCTCACTTCTAATTAGAGTAACTGTGAGCAAAAGAAGAAATTTTTGCCCCCAATTAATTTAATCTTAAGTAATGTGGTGACAATAAAATTGAAATATGTAAAATGTGGCTAATATAGAAGTGAAAATAAATATAAGATTGGAACTATTTGGAAAACTTTTTTTTAATTAAATAAATAATAAAAGTAAAAAACTGAATAGTTTTACATCAAAGAGTTATTTACAAATTATTAAATGAATGAAAATGTTGAAAAATTCCAAAAGAATAAAATTTTATTTGAATTTTCATTACATATATTGAAGTTTTAAATTTAAATAAATAATAGAAAATAATTTTCTTTATACTACGATTAGCTTCAATACTAGGATTAGCTTCTTCTACTATTTGCTAACTTTTTAACTTTTGAAATATTACTATTTTTGAAATATTACTAAATTATTTTGAAAAAATATTACTAAATTACCCGAAATATTATTAAATTAAAAATTTTAAAATATTACTAAATTATTCGAAATATTACTAAATTACCCGAAATATTATTAAATTAAAAATTTTAAAATATTACTAAATTATTCGAAATATTACTAAATTATCCGTTGTTTGAAATAATTTTTACTAAAATTATGTCATTGTCACATAAATTTCCAATTTACTAAGAAATAAATTATAAATTTATCTATCAATAAGAGTGTATGTTTAATAAATATTTATAGAAATGAAAAATTTTATTAAAATTTAGGTGCCCAATTAACTCCAATATATGCGCTAACATTACCAATTGCTATCGTATGGACAGAAAACATACCAAGAAAACTACTCAAGAAAATCATCAAAAGTTTGGAATTAAATGGCAATGAAGCAGCTAATCATTATTT